ACATACTCAGCAGCTATCATTTTGCCTGTAAAGAGCTTTAGAAGAGCTGCGTGGAGAGAAGTTCCAGTTTTGCAAAGGATTTTGACATTCCAGAGTCTGGCTTAATTCTGAATTGGAGGTGAAAACCCCCCATATATCTAAGTTACTGACAGTAACTGACAGTTACTAATGGTTTTACTAACAGTAAATTTTGACAGTTTTACCAACAGTAAATTCTGCTTTGTCCACTGTTTGCTCCCATAATCTAAGAAAACGTTCTGTTCAAAGTATTTAGAATTATTTGTGTGCCTGATAATATATGTAAAAATGTTTATTCTCAAAAAAGAACTCCCCTTTAGACATTTCTTTAATTTCCTAATCCCACAATTTTCCTCCAAAAGGCTAGTGAAATCAACCTGGTTTATATTTAAGTTTCAGGAGGAAGAGAGCTGGCTTCATTAAGGTGTTGGGTTTTTTTTCTGACAACTCCTGTTTAAACTTTGCTAGTATCTGATACTGACCGTGCAGTACATGTGACTGTGGTTTTAGCCCTTAGAAGGAGAAAGTTGTAAATTATTCTCTTCCAAGAGGTTACAAAATATCTCACTGCAGATTTTTGTTATGTAAATACCTGTCAAAAGACATAATCCTGCCCAGGCCTCCCCTACCAAAAGCAATAAATGGTCATTTACATCTCTAATTTAGCCGAGAGAGAAATTTAAACTGACTTGATTGCTCAAGGTCTGGCCCTTGCAAAATAACCAGCTCTGCCTGTTATGTGAGGTAAGGAAACCAACGGCCTGAATCAAGTAAATTACCTCCACTCTCCCAGTTATTTTGGTGCCAGGATTTGAAAAGGCAGCTCCCTAAGGCCACATTGTGTGCCAGCTGGAGAAAAGCCGGTTTTCAAAGGCATCATTGCCTCTGGGGGAAGGAGGAAGCACAGCTAGTGTGAATTAAGCAGCAAACCATGGCACATATAATGTGTGCACCCTGCTGCATTTTTAGCACCCCTTGGAAGGAAGATGCTAATTGTAATGTAGAGGTGAACAAATAATACTGCCGTTTCTAATGCTCATCTTGCAATATGTGTTTTCAAAACTCTGTTGGTGCTGGAAGGAGGCCCCAAAGCCCGACCTGGTGCAGCAGCATTTTCCCTGCAAAACCTCTGCACTGCCAAAAAGCTAGGACTCCTAACACAAGGTAAAGTCCAAAGAGAGCCAGGAGCACAATGGGCATTAGAATTGCCTTTTGGCCATTCCTCCCGACAAAGCAGCTCTCTTGCTAAATTCAAAGTGAGAGCCAGGGCTGTCCTCTCCTGCAGGAGGTATCTTACGGGGGTGGTGTGCCTAGCAGCCTTTTGCTTGCCTGTGTCGCTGTTCTTTCCTGTTTGTAAGCACCTCCAGCAGCAACAGCAGGGTTTTTTTTCTCAGGAGTTCTCTCTCTGTGTGGTACTTCTGCTCAAACTGCAAACCAGGAGCTTTTCCAAGGCAGCTCACAGCTATGGCAGCTTCTGCCCTCACCTGCCAAGGTGACTGAGCCAGCAGTAAAATCAGAGCAGATAATCAGCACACCCACTAAGCCCCTCGGGCCTTTTGCCAAAGGAAAGTCATATACTAGTTCCAGCAGGACTTTAAGAATATTTATGGTGTTATGTTGGTCCTTTGATGGAAAATGAAAAAGAACAGGAAAGTAAGGATGATAACAGCCCTTCTTTCAATACTAACATACTTAAAACTTAACTTTATTTGGACAACAAAACACACCCAAATGCAGCTTGAAAACCAGAAACTACAAAATGCATCCTCCTTGTCAGTAATATGCATCCGTATAAGACAGTTTCTTGGTATAGAAAACTTTAAATGATGCCTCCCTCATTTTGGTCAAGCTATTGCAACACACAGACGTTTGTGCTGTCTGCCATTTCTAGGCACAGAGCCGTTTAAAGTTTATAAGGGAGTAGTTACTGGTTCCCAAGAAAAATTAACTGTTCCTCCCTCAGAGCCTTTCCTCCCTCAGAACTCTGACAAAGCAGAGCAAAAGCAGTAGCGATCATTAAGGGGAGTGTCTCCGATGGCTTGTCACGGTGTCCTGCTCGTGTCGGGGCCGTCCCCTGGGCTACATCCACGTGGAAGCCAGAAGATACATCCGGTTACTTTTGTTATCGAGTTTAACAGGGAGGACCTCTACATGCATCCTGAACGTATTTTCCCTTACAACTCTTAGCTGCAGTGTTTGCTTACAATGAACATGCCACTCACAGACTAAGGAACTAGTTTTATAAGTAGAGACATTACCTTATCAGAGAGAAAAGAATTTGGCTATCCTTAGGTGAAAGAAGAAACTAAGGCATTATCGAGTGAGAAAAGAGGAAATGAACAGCCTGTCCTTCAGAGAATATGCACTCATATCCAGTTCAGCCACCGGAGCAGTAGTTTGCATACTCTGCAAACTGTTACTCATTAACAGAAGGGCCATTATGCAAGTCAGGCTTCCCTGATCAAATGTTGGGGACCTGCAGGAAAGAGAAATAAGCACACAATTTTGAGTTGGTACGTATATAGCTTCTTAATGCTCTGCCAGCTAATAAAAAGTAATTTCAGTGTTCCTAAATGTGTCAAGCAGAAAGCACTCTCAAATTAGTAATGTTAACTTGTTACTAAGTTGGGTGTTAACTCCACAGCTCAAACTGGATCCTATGAGCTAAGAACATCACAGTATTTAGCAATAGTTCTCTTCCGTTTTCATCTTTGCCCAACTGAAAACAAAAAGACACGTATGCCATATAAGCAACACATCTTAGTAAAGAAATACTATTTATTTATTATCTAAATACTAGCCAGTTAGATTCCTACCTGTGAAAACAAATAAAACTACCTGACTATATGGTGTACCTTTGTATAGAGATGAACCTGTTTTTCTTCAGGTTTGGGTGGTAAAGCTTTGACCTAGGGTTAAGGTGTTCCCTTCCCCACACTTTCCAACCACTTGCCACTCCTTTTGCTGCCTCAGAAACATCACCTCCTCTGCCCAGTGCATATTTTGATAACTGCTTTTCAGCACACATATCATTGCATGGCTTCTCTTGTGAAACCTTGGCCATTAAATGACTGTGCAAAGCAACAGCGAAGTGATTTGCCTGACTCCTGCTTCACTGGCAGGCCCCGAGTCCTGGCAAGCTCCTGCAAGCACTTTGAAGCTGCTGCTTTGCAGAGAAGTGAGGTGCCACTTGCATCCAGCAAGACCACCCGTCCCCAACATCTCTGCAGGAGGTGGCACAAGCTGTAATGCAAGCACCATCAAATCCCTTAGCCAAGGTAGATTTTTAGGGCATTTCCCTTTGTAAAGAATAACAAAGCACTACCTTCCATCAAGACAAATAATATAATTTAAAAGAGTGTTTGATTTTTGATAGCTCACATACAAAACATTTTTTTAAAACAACACAAAATGCAAAACAGGTTTTTTCCTGTGTGGTATTATTGCTGAACATGGACTAAGGGGTGGCTGCGATGTACTATCCTCTGTTACGTTCCTTGCGAGCTATTCTCTTCCACTTTGGGCATTTTGAGAAAGGAGAGCCCTCTTCTTGCCTCCCAGAATAATTCAGCTGTCATCATATTAGCATGGGTTATTAACTGGCCGAGGTGACTGAGCTTGTCATCAGAGTTACATGGATCACTACTGAGGTTAACTGAGGGATCTGAAGAAAAGTCAGCATACAGAGAATTTCCTGCATATTAAGATAATTGAGAATTACAGTTACTAAAAGGAGAAGAAAAAAAAACATAGTAGAAGCAAAAGTAATTGTGTGAAAGCAGGAGACACTTACATGATGTCAAAACCTGACCGACTCATCCTTCTCCTACCTCACCAGCAACTGTCAGAACTGCACTGGGCCCTTGTCAAGTTACCTGGGAGAGGTAACTTGTACTCCCTTCATTCATTTATTGCAGAAACACAGGATTTTCCAGGCCAGATCACACAGTGGTTTGATGAAGCCCTGTGCCTGAGCTCCAGCAGTGGTTTATGCCAGAGCATTTCACTGACCCTGTCCTGATGCCCAGACTATCCACACGGACCATTCTGCTGCACCTTGCACAAGAAACAGTGGGATCTCTTCAGAGTGCCCCAAAACACAGAGCCTGACTGCTAACAGCACAGCAGAACCCCTGGGGTGCTGCAGGCACCCAAAGCACGTCTCTGTGGTGCCCCCTGAGGGGCACGTGGGTCCTCCCTCCCTCTCTGACCGTGCCACCAGATGTGCAGCACCGCGCTAGCGGCGGGAATCCTGTGGGATTTCAGGGTCTGGGGCTGAAAGGGCTTGGCCTTCCTGCTGCGACTTCTCCTGGGATTCACCGGGCTGCGCCAAGGCAACGTGCTCGGTCTGCGGAGCGGGTGTACGGGGCTCATCATCCTCCGGCTGAAACCGTAAGATCCACGGGCTGGAATTTCTGAACGTAATTAAACCTGACAGAAAAATAAATAAACATAAATAAACAAACAAATAAACGTTGCTTGCAGGCCAAACTACCGGGAGCTCCCGGCAAACCG